ATCTATAACAAATGTTCGATTAGTAATAATACATTGAAATCAAACATACAAATTTAACCATATACATAACATCAATGAACATTCGATGAAAGAAAAAGTATAAAGAAAAAAAAGAAATGAATAAGAAAGAATAAGAGAAGAAAGAAGAAAGAAAGAAAGAAAGAAAGAAAAAGGGATACTAACAATGAATGATGTAGATTCGAATGGTTCAACATATGCCGCATATACACTTACTCTTTTTCTTTCATTCAATCTAAAGTTCTATGTGTTTGTGCACGAGTCTAATCTAAAGCATACATCCGATCGAGGAAGGCAAGCATTTAGTTCGAATAGACACAAGGGAAATAAGCCGATATATGCATTTAATAATTATTTTGATATATTGATGTAGAAAAAAAGCTAAATGATCTTTTATGAAAGAAAATTGAAAAATCTCTTTGTAAAAATAAATGCTTTCATTATTTATTTTTCGCAGAAATAGTAAATATAAAGATCGGAAGCGTAGATTTAAATTACACATACAAATACATAAATTAATGCACGTCTTTAATGTCCCTAATCATTCTTTTTTTTTTTTGTTCACATTGTCATTAAAATATATCGTTCGTGCTTGTTATACTCACGTCTCATTCTTCATCTATACTAAACAAAAGACAAACAAGGCTCCCATCACATACATACACACACACGTAAAGCACAGCAAAGAAAAACACATGCGTGCATCGAGGCGAGAATAGATGAATCTTCTGCTTTTGCCCAACGGCGTTTTGTGCTATTTCGTTCTCTTTTTTTTTTCTTTTTTTTCCTTCGTTTTTTTTTTACAGTGAGATTAATTTTCTATCATCGTCGACGAGACGCGCCCCAGTTGTTGTTATTTCTCTGTTCTCTCATTTTTTTGCGATTCTAAGCTGTCTGAACGTTTATGTTGACAGGATATGAAGAGAAAAGAAAACTAAGAAAATTTTCTTTAGTCAGCAAACATTTTTGTTGATATTTGTTTATTAGAAAAAAAATTTTTTTCTTGAAAAACCCATCAATTATTGCAATATATAAAAATATATATTTTTTTTGTTTTATTTTGAATATTGATAATAGAAACGAAATATACCTAAATCTTTAATAAATAAAATTAGTTTTATCTAAATATAATAGTCACTTGCAGACATCCTCTATCGTTTTTCATTGATATAACAGAAAGAAAAAAAAATAATTTATTCCTTACTACTATTTTATTATACAAGAAATAGAAATATTGAGACATGAAAATAAGTGTTGTTTTTTTAATGAACTTGGCAAGTTATTTTTAGTGATCTATTATAGGATGAGATAAATTGTAATGTACTAAAACGGTTCAATTATCGATATGAATCTTTTAAACGATGTATTATTTATTTAAATATGTTGTCATATTATTTTTTATAGAAGAATTTTGAATATCTATCTATATACCATTAATTCTTCATTTGACTTATTCATATGTTTTATTGGTTTGCTACAATGTGCATGACTTTTCTTGCCTATTAAAACATCATGATCGTTGTGTTAATAGTTTTAACAAATTAGAAATGATTTGTTTTGTTATAATGTAAGATTTGAATCAGATCCCAATTGTACTATAGAACAGTTGTATTCTAATTATCTTACATTCAATAACTAGCAACATATGTTGTAAAATATTTCGAGTAATATTTTAATCTGAAATCTTCACATCGGTCATCATACATGAAATATTAGAAAAGTTTTTTTTCATTCAAGTCTTCTAAAAACTATCATTTGAATGTATGTACATATCATTTTCGACATCAGTTTGAACTCTCTTAGTCTGAAGCAAACTTTACAAAATACTGAATAGTTCATCTAATAATAGAAGACGTGCGTTGAATTTAGACCGGCATGAATCAAGCTAGTTAAGTTATAGTACGAAACCGTTCGCGCAAGAGTTCAAAAGTTATATAAAAATAGTGTGTGACTCATGTGAAAAAAAAATACAGCGACGCCTAAGGCTGAGATAGTTGAGATTTTGCATATGATCCTGAATCTGTTTAAGCATTATAATAGAATATCGACGTTTAAATTATGGGTTTCACGAGAGTCGAACGAAAAAATTTTTCTAACCATTTCCCGGTTATTGTTGATATAAATCTTTTTTATTCCTATTTTGTCATTTCTTAGATAAACTCAAATAATATAGTTTTCTATTGTTGGGTGTCAATGTGTGTGTGTGTGTGTGTGTGTGTGTATAGTCTGGATATGGATAAAGGTGTGAATCAAGAGAATACTCATACCTACATCAACACCCACATCCACACTCTTAGCATATCTATATGAGCCATTAAATCAATGTCGAGTGCGCTAGAATGGGCGACATCTGATTTGAGTAGTACCATCAGAAGAAAAATATTTTGCTGAAATGTATTAAATCAGAATAAATATTGATTTAGATATATTATTTTCGTGAAAATTGAGTTTCACACAAATGATGGTGCTATATTACAATCACCATATGATGATAGCTTAATCAATTTGCTTAAAAATAAATACAAATCAAAGATGTCGTTAAATCAATTCACTTGCTTTAGTGAAACTCTCTGATTTTAGTTCGTCAGAACGATTTAACATGATAAATAATCTGTATCAGTCACATATTTCATATGCTGCAAATATCAGCTTATAAAGATGAATTTCGTTCCAAATGCATTAGCGGAGCTCGAATTCGAAATAGATAGACATTTCTCCAACTTCTGAATACTACCAAATCACGTTCTGCTATCGTTGAAACATTAGACGAGAAAAACAACAAAATAAAAAAATAGAACGAGTTGAAGAATGACATCTTGTTTTCATTCGTTTATTCTAATTACTATTCCATACTACACTAGGCCTGGATTCTATCCCTTGTAATCGAAGTACAAACACATGCATTTAGAATATTTTTTTTCTCTTCTCCTAAGCTATAAAAGAGACTATCTGCAACAAATTCGTTCTATCTAATACTAAAATATCCAATGAATTAATATTGTTTTAGATACACTATGAATATTTCAATATTTAATAAATATGTTTTTTAATAATCTTTACATGATATTGTGAGGGATCGAATTTTCAGTTTTCTTTGTAATCGATGGTGCCTACCTTTTCGAGTAATAATCAGGCTTGCTATTAGTAGCAGTATTCTGTTTACTATAGTAAGAATACTTCTTGGGATTTATGCAGTTCTGGAGAATATTAGTGAGATAACATTAGTATTACAACATTATTACGAGTATTCTTCTTTTCAATGCTTTAAAAAAGGACACCTTTCATTCTGCTGAAGATTAAAATGACCTTTATGCTTCTTTTCATGTCATTTATATTTCTTTTATTCATTATAGACAAAGTTGTGGATGTGGATGTGGTGTAAGTATTCGTGTAGGAATGAATATTCTCTTGATGCATACCCTTATTCATATCCAAACCGTACACGCACTCACACCCACACTCTGTAAAAACTTAGTTTCACATATGTGTGTTATAAGGTTAAAGCACTAATTTGACATATTTATCTGATCAATGTATGGTTGAGGAGGTCCTCAAATGTATTTGAATATATACCTCAAATCTTATATCAATGTACTCGCCAATTAAAGTTCTTGCATTCTATACATAAATGGCTGGATACAGTGTGAAAAAGTCCTATGGGCCAAATCACATTTTTATGCATCTCTGTCTTTTCTCAATATCATTCAATATAAACAATAAAAAATCTCTTCTAGCACATGAATAACTTCCTAAAATGACATATTTTCATTTCGATACTAATATTATTGTCTTCGATGTTCACAGAGCAATGGATGAATAGATGATGGATGGCTATCTGGATAACAACATGTATATTGTGTCTCATTTAAATAATGCATTCCATGATGAGGAGTTTGAATAAATGGCGATCCAGTATGATTTTTTAATCGTTTGAATAGCTTATGCATTTCATTTGCATCTTTACAACCATGAATAAAAATGTATGCTGTATGACAATATTTACTACATATCGTCTGGTTCGATTCATAAGCTGATAAAAAACTATAGTAGGGATCTATTTTGCATAATGTATGATTTGCTTTAGCTTGCCATAAAAGAACATTGATACCTGTTTCATCAAAGTTAGCACCTATAAAATGACCTTGACGTATAAGAGTAATAGCTCGTTGAAGAAATGGATATGCACGATAATTCCATAAATATATGAGCATGTATATATGGTGTAGTCCGATGTTTGAAATCAAGTTTAAATCGTTTTAAAAAATGTCCATAATTCCTAGGATCATCCGGATGACGAGGTGAAAGTGGTAATGGATATGGCCATCGATGAAGAACATCGAAAAGAATATCAACATTCCAATTAACTAACGTATCAGCTTCTATATATATTCCATAATCAATTTGACTGTGTACAATAGCATAGATTTTACAAAAATAAATAGATGGTCCACAATCTTTTTGACTTAAACGTCGTTTGATTAAACGTGGATATTTTTTATTGTCGATATTTAAATCAACATCAATTCCATAAGCTATAATAGGACGTGTTGAAAAATGATGAACAGCATCAAGTATAACAATTAGAAGAGAAAGATACTTTGGTTGATTATTACAAAATGTTACAAATGCTTCACGTGGTGTACTATTTAAAGGTAGTCCAGAAACAGGCAATTCTGGAAACATTAGATCAGAATGATGAGTAGAAGTAGAGAACACTGTTGTTAATATTTTTGTTTGGTTAATTCTTTTGAATGATAAAATGATTTTGACATTATTAAAAGCATACATTAACTGGAGAATAATAAGACAAATGACAATCAATAATAGAATTTGATGCGAACGATGATCGAGGTTCATATCTATGTTTTTGAAATAATAAAGATTCATCAACAATCACTTTTTAAATTATATGTCTGCATCATAGACAATGATTTTCTCGTGTAATCGTTAAGTGCACGTAATTCAAAAATGAAGCAAGAAAATGTTTTTTTCATTTCATTAATACACGGTTAGAGAATGCTCGTCGAGTTTTGAAAAACTGTCTACATGAAAAATACTCAAACGCTTTTCTGGCTTAAAAATGCAAAAAGACTTCGATATTGTGCGTATTAAGAAAAATATTCGTAATTTTCAAGGAAATTTACGTTTCAAACCATTCCTATTGTGTCACAAGCTCGAAACACAGTTTTTTTCTAATACAACATGTAAAACTGCATTTACCGAATATGAACTTGAAAATGATGTGAGATCGGTAAGATATCCTAGAATCCTACATTTGTTTTTGGTCCTGAACGACTCTTTGAAGCGGTAGACAATTTTTGACCATGAAAAACATATCTTTAAGTAAACTCGATATAATAATCGGATTCAACATAAAATAGTGAATCAAATAATATTGATTTTATTTCACAATATTGTGTCAATTGAAGTTCGACTCCATACTCCAGTGGCGGATCCAGGATTTTCGCGAGAGGGTGGCACTTTGTAAATTTAGCGGCGTAACCAGAATTTTAGGCTAGAGAGGCTCAGTCCCGAACGTTTTTAAAAAGTGAACAAAACTAGTGCTGAATATTTTTCATTTTGTTTCGCAAAAAAGGAACTAAGGCTCTGACCTATCTGCATGAGATGCCTAATTCGAATTGTAATATAAATGCACTTTCAGAAGTGCTTAATCATTTCGAAAATAACTAAAAAAAAATAAAATATACATGCACCCATTTAGATAAATTATTATAAAAGCTATAAATAATGAAGACTTTACTGTAAAGTTAGGCAAAAATTTTTACTTTTTTGCCATTTATCATTTATCATAAAAGCTATAAGTGATACAGACTTTACAGTAAATTCATCACCATTTATAACTTTTACCATAAATAATAAATGGCAAAAAAGTAAAAATTTTTGCCTCATTTTACAGTGAAGTCTTCATCATTCATAGCTTTTTTAATAAATGATAAATGGCAAAAAAAGTAAAAATTTTTGCCTAACTTCACAATAAAGTCTTCATCGTTTATAGCTGTTATCAGAATTGATAAATGGCAAAAAAAGTAAAACTTTTTGCCTAGCTTTACAGTAAAGCCTCCATGATTTATGTTTCATAATTAACGATAAGTGACGAAGAAAAAGTTTTATTCTTTTGCTAACATGAGTGCTGTGTTTTTTTCTCGATCTTCATTTATATTATAAGTCGAATTAGGCAGCTGCTCGTAATTTCCAATATGTTGTCTAAACTAGAAACTATGCACCCAAAAGTAGTCATATGCAATGTAAGGAGCATAATGATTCCAAATGGAATAGTTAGAAGTGTTACTCTTTGTATCCAAACCCTTCCAAAAATTAAAATACATTGAATTAGAACAGAGTCAAAATTGGTGATAAAATGAACAATATGATAGTCGATTTAAAATATGTTTGTAAGTCTGCCCATCAAGGTCTCAGGAAGTGCCGGAGTGTTTTTCTTTGTTCGTTACATCAGTATCAAGAACTTTTACAACGCATCACATCCAGTTTGTTAGAATACGGTCGCAAAGCTTCTCTGAGCGACAAACACCTACTTCTAAGAGAAAATTTTCGAAAGAACTCTGCCCGATTTTATTGATATGAGGTCAACTTTAGGTGACATTATAAGATAGTGATTCGTTTCGCTACTGGCTATAGTTCAGATAAAAACGAA